GGTACAAAACCAATCAAAGTTATACATTTTAAGAAGATGTCTACGATGCTTATAAGTAACGACGATATCAAAGATGGGTCTATGTGATTGTGGTGTCTTCACTGGGTCTTGAATGACTTATTCTGATATTTATTCCTCAGCCTGTATCGTTTATTTTCTTTTATGTACTCCTATCAATCTTACTTTTTGTCTAGGTCTTATTACTCTAAGCATACATTCATTTCTTCTCTATTTCTACCCAAATTTGCCATCTTCCTCCTTCATTCCTTTCTACGAAAATGAAACTTTGTCACACTGCCTGGTAAACTCATTTTGTATTTTAAATCTTCTCTTACAGAAATCGCGCCAGTGGAGCCGTCCGCCAGGCTTTACCAAAAAGAAGCTCCGTACTAACGGAGGAGTAGAAGGATTAGAGGATAATCCAGGGTAGGTAGAAGTCCCTCCTGTTGAGAGGTGCCCCTATTCTTCTCTGATATCCAAGACGCAGGCTGCTACTGGGATTACGGCGTTAAACTAATTACCTTTAAAGACTCCAAAATTGGCGGATTTCGTCCCTGTTGTGTTTTTTTAAAAGCCAATATTATCTGAAGCCTGAGGGTGCTGGCTGCTGTATTTGTTTTACTCAGAAAACAGAAGAAGCAAGAGCAACAGGATCACAGAGAGGTCAGCTGGATACAAACATATGTGTGCAGATAAAATGAGCTTTGCCCGAGGGTCCAGATAAACAAGAGGAGTCGGAGGAGCGACCCCCTCTGAGCTGTGGTCAAAAGTCTTTAACAGGATTACAGCTAAGGACAAAACACCCAAGCTTTTCCGTAAGCACACAGCCAGAGTAATTAATGGCCCCAAGTGTATTCCGGTAGGTCACCTTTTTTGAGCCACGGTAAATATTTTACATTAAACAAACCAACAACCAAAACAATTACAAAAGGACACATCGAAGCCTAAAACAGCGTGTATATAATATATATATATAATGACAATTTAATGCCAAGTCTCTCAATTTGGCGACAAGTTCAGCTACTAAGAAGCTATCTTTGAGAGCTCTCTCTCTGTGGTTTTTCTCAAAATAGAGACAGGTGTTTGTTGTGAAAGTAAAAATTAAGCTCTGTTTGGACCATGGTTTCTTTCGACCACCACTCATACTAGGTTCTTCATCTGGGTTAGCATTGTATCTGCGACCCACCTCAAAAAACACATTTTTCCACAAACTCCACACGCATCAATTTATTCTATTTGCAGGCCATACTTGCCAAAATGGGGGGGGGGGTGCTAGTGGATCGCCGGAGCTGTTAGATTAACATTAACATGCTTATTGTAGTTCTAAGTGCACTGCCTTGCGGCCTGTAGCACCGTCCTTGATGGAGCATATGTGTGGATCTGTTTGCTGTGACTCTCTGCCTCACCCTCTCAGACGTTCAGTTGCGCGCGCTACTAAAGAGACGTGTTACCATGGAAACCAAACAATGGTGGAGCTGTATTAAAGTCCGAGTGGAAACAGTCCTGAGTAAATCGGATTTTGTCAGAAATCGGGAGAAATGCGGGAGAAATATGACCCCGGGAGGAAACCGGGAGAGGGCTATGAAATCGGGAGTCTCCCGCAAAAATCGGGAGGGTTGACAAGCAGCAACTAAATCATTTTTGTTTTGGACTAATGCACACCTGACTATCTCTCATGGCACACTGGTGTTTCGATGCACAGTGATTGAAAATCCCTGCTGTAGTTTATCAATTAGAGGTTTTTAACCTTCATGCAGCCAGACAATTGTTTCCCCTTCATTGAGTCGAGCCATTATGTCTGTGACCGCTCTCACGGGGGAGTTGTAACCAGAGAGGTGGCCTGTTGCTTCAGTTCATGGGAACATGCACACAATCCCTGCAGGCTCACGGCATCTTATATTGAACATCACACCTCGGTATACTGGTCCCTGGCGTCCGCTCAGCGCTGGTATGTGCTGCGTTTCCTCCCAGATGCCCCTCTTAAAACGCCAGCCGGGGGAAGTGAACCACAGGGCCTGGGACTGCGGTCAGAAGCAAATTAGTAGGGCTGCCTTGGACCTGACGCAATGCTCCGTCCCTTGAACCATAGCAGGTCATTAATGAAGCCAGACGAGGCTGTGCATGCGTGGGAGGCCTGCAGACATGAAGCTGCTGCAGTGGAAAGCTTTTAAAGAGAACCAGAGCTCCACGTCGGGACTGCTTTATGCTATCAAAATATTTTCAAATTGGAGATCCATTACTCTGCTGGCAAAGAACAACACATGAGAAAAAAAGGGCAATTTTTTGGTCTGCCTCCATTACAGAGTTACGGAGTCATGGAGCTCCAGAACGGATCCGCAGGAAAAGGCTTTCAGTCAATTCAAAAATATAGCTGAATGTGTCATTTCATAATTATATTAAACAACTGTGTAAGCTTAAAAAGCTTTAACCTCCAAGTAGTTGGTAAAAAAGGCTTTTTGCGATAAAAATATGATTTATTAGAAAGCTACTTTACTCTGTACGTTAGCTAGCCTGTTTTGTTAGCGTTAGCTTTACAGCCAAACTGCTTTAGCTACGTTTACAAGAGTTTATACAGCAACAGAATAGAAGTATACAGCATTAAATTATATGGCTGATTATCATTTACTGCACTAAAGTAAGCTTTATTTACCATTTTAACAAGGTAGCTAGCTAAAAGACTGGTGCTAGTTGTGTTTAGCTTTCAGTTAAGCTAGCTAGCCACACGGTCATATTATTCAACCCAGTCTCACGGCATTTCGTGTTAGTCACGAAATTAATTTAATCTATTGAATCGTGTTCACCAACACGATTTTCCCATTTCTTTCGTGCCACACAGAACGATTTTAAAAGCAATGTATTTCTATTGGTAGTATGTTTCGTGCCTGCACCACGTCTTTTTGTCCGGNTTTTGGAGCCAAGGCAGAGTGTATAAAAGTTAGCGCTGAGCTTCAGTCTGCAATGTTCAAAACAACAGATAAAGCCAGAAGTCTAGGTGTAGTCATGGACTCTGACCTGAGCTTCAACAGTCACATTAAAACAGTTACTAAATCAGCTTACTATCACCTAAAGAACATATCTAGGATTAAAAGACTAATGTCACAGCAGGATTTGGAAAAACTTGTCCATGCTTTTATCTTCAGTAGACTGGACTACTGCAATGGTGTCTTCACAGGTCTCACTAAAAAATCTATTAGAAAGCTGCAGCTGATTCAGAACACCGCTGCTCGAGTTCCTCACTAACACTAAGAAAGTGGATCACATCACTCCTGCTCTGAAGTCTTTACACTGGCTTCCTGTGTGTCAAAGAATAGATTTCAAAATACTGCTGCTGTTTATAAAGCACTGAATGGTTTAGGCCCAAAATACATTTCTGACCTCCTGCTAAATGATGAACCATCCAGATCTCTCAGGTCTTCAGGGACTGGTCAGCTTTCTGTCCCCAGAGTCAGAACTAAACATGGTAAAGCAGCGTACAGTTATTATGCTCCAAATATCTGGAACAAACTCCCAGAAACCTGCAGGTCCGCTGCAATCTTACTACTTTTAAATCCAGGCTGAAGACTTTTCTTTTTGTCGCTGCTCTTAATTGAACTATTCATATCTTAGACTGCACTGTAACTTTTATCCATGTATTTTTTCTTTTAATGTTTATTTTATTAGCTTTTCTTTTTAATGACTGATTTTAAATGCCATTTTCTTAATGTCTTTCATTTTTTGTAAAGCACTTTGAATTGCCTTGTGTTGAAAAGTGCTATATAAATAAACTTGCCTTGCCTTGCCTAATAAAGATTCCATGTGACACATACAATTGATTTGTTGATGGGAATGTATGTGAAAAAATTAACTCTAGGTTAACGGTACTCTTGCTATCACTACTCACCGACACTATAAACCTTGTCCCTCATGCTAGCCCTGACAACACCGGTAAGCACACCTTCATCTAGGCTGCACTGTAACGTGTCCTGACTTGTAGTGGTTCTCTCCTCTACACTCTTCTTGTCATCTTTGTAAAACGATATCAGACTGGTAATTGACACAGCCATGACTTCTAGTTAAATTCAATGAAAAGCTTTGTTAAAATATGCAAGCACGCGAAAGTCAAATTCAGCTTTATTGTCAAAAATTCTGCATGTGTTATACATCCAGAAATATCGAAATATCGTTTCCCACAGTGTGACATGTATACATTAAACAAAACGGGCCTAGATAACCGGCGTATACAGTTTAAAATGTTAATATATTTAAAGTGTTCAAAGTGCAGTTTCAGTGCAAGTCAGTTGAAACGATCTTAAGTTGGCGTAACGTTGAAGTCGTGCGACCCTGCTGCTGTACTGGCTTGTAGTTCGTTTATAGCATAACGTTAGCATTTCGCTTTTGGCGACTAGATTTATGATTCAAAAATTATAAAAGTAGGGTTTACATGTGGAGATTATCCGGCTGAACAAAACGTGATCCCTCTCTTAAATGTGTGTCAACCACAGACCTTATTTCGAGCTATTTTCCAAAATCCTATGGAGAATTTGCATTGGTTTTTCGCGAAGGAACCGGAAGAAGTTTACTCCCGGGTTTTACGACGCATCACTGCGGTTCTCTATTACCAACTCTCATAGGAATGAATGAGGCCCCGCCTCCCACGCTGTATCCAGTTCTTATTATACATCCATGGCTAGAATGGAGGGATGTCTAAAATGCATGATCTGTTTGTATTTTGAGCAAAACACATCATAGACATGTTTTTATATATCTGAGACCCATAATATATGCCTTAAAATAGCATGATAGGTGCATTTTAAGCTCAAAATTACACATTAGATTTAGCACATAAAAAATGTGTGTAAAGATTACCATTTGTGGCATTATCGGAGGTTGTTTGTCAAACTTTTGTGAGTCTTCCCTAATTGCCATGCAATACTCAAGGAAGTTAAGACTAAAACACATAAATGCTGTATTTTAGATTTTTGTATATCTTTGTGGGTTCTTATGAATACACAAATACAACAATGTGTGTGTTGTACACTTCACAGTCTAGGATTGGCAACTGGAGTGTGGAGGTGGGTTGCAGTGTCCTGTCTGGGCCCCGGGGGTCCGGTCTCCAGGTGCAGGCCAGACTGGACGGCAGTGAGAAGATCTGGCTTAACGGGACGGCAGAGGGACCATGTCTGCAGAGCGCAGCGGGTTATATGAACGGTGAATACATCTGAAAAATAAATATGGATTTTTATATTGCTCTAAACAAAAACCCACAACTTCTGCAAAAAAAAACAGAAGGAATAAAGAAGAATATTTACTTCAGCCTAGTATTTAGAGTAGCCACTAAACACATTCTAAGGAAATAATCAAAAGATGATAACCTCAAAAATATTGAATGGAAATAACTATACATGAAATATATGATAATTCCTATTTTTGTGTTGATATATTTGATAAAAAATGGGGAAAATGGGTAAACATAAAATATTAGAAATGACCTTTGTTTAGATGTTGACTATATATCCGTTTCCTGCTAAATATATCCCATCATAATTTTTGAGTTCTTCTTACAAATTCTTTTTAGGTATTATTGTTTTAACTGTATTACATTTGTATTGCGCTTGCTCTGTAAAAAATTAATTTCTTAAGAAAAAAGAAAGAAAAAAAGACAAACATTTTGAATCTAGGATGATGAATATTTGAATGTGTTTATGTCCAGGTGTGAGCGAGGACGTCACAGTTGTGGCGTGTGTGGGAACAAATGGCAGTGTGACGCTGGATGTGCAGAAACGAGACGGCAGCAGCACAGACCCTGAGACTCTGGGAAGTGTGTGTGTGGGAGCAGCCAATCAGAGGCTGAGGCTGAGAGCAGGAGGCTGTTTGGAAAGTCTGACAGCAGTGGAGGTATCACCAAGACAACAACAGCAGATACATTAATATTACCATAAAGCATGGCACTTTTTAAAATACTAATACTCATTAACAAGCCTACAAGCACTCATATAGAATACAGACATGCTGTATAAACCAATAAATGATAGAATAAACATAGAACACTTAAGTGTTCTATGTTTATTCATGCAAGTGCATAGTCATGTTACTATATGCAAGTAGAAATATAAATAAGCAGTATTTTCTAATTACTTTGCATAGAAGAAAAGGAAAAAGAAGTACAGTAGCAATCCAGTCTCACAGCATTTCGTGTAATAGTCACGAAATGAATGTAATCTATTGATTCGTGTTCACCAACACGATTTTCCCATTTCTTTCGTGTCACACAGAACGATTTTAAAAGCAATGTATTTCTATTGGTAGTATGTTTCGTGCCTTGTTGGAGATTTGGAGGATGTTTAAAACCAACCTCGTCTCCGCGTGTCGTTTGGTAAGCTGGGTAAATTCGTAAAAAGGAAGGGATTAAGAAACACCAGAATGCAAGTTAAACAATAATCTTGTTTTAATGACACAAAGTAATAATACAAATACAAAGGAAGTACTATTGTTTAACTTGCATTCTGGTGTTTCTTAATCCCTTCCTTTTTACGAATNCAAGGCGGGGGCGCGGCGGGGGGTGTGTGTGTGTCTACAGAAGGTCCAGTTGTGATAGACACGGTTCGCCACTGCTTAATATTAAACTCAACATAAGAGCTTTTCCTTAGAATATCAAAACCATTGCTGGTAGCTTGAAAGACCCTTAAAAGCTTTTAAAATAACTGACAAACAGTTTGGTAGTAATTTTCTGTGGTTTGGTAACTTTCTCATAGTTGTTTCATAGATTGATGTCAACGTTTTGATAAAGGCAGCTTTGTTTAAAACATGTGTTTTCTATACTCACCATAAGAGCTTTTCCTCTCCTCCGGCGTGCTATGAGAACTGGGGAAGAGCACTTTGGTGGTGGGACTCCCATTGGGCATCTCCACATCCAGGCTGGGGAGGGAGATGGCGTTCTTGATGATGGGAGAAACGACCGGAGGTGGAGGCGACAGCTCTTTGCATCCTCCAGTCGGTCTGTTTTCAGATCCCCTCCTGATCTGACGGAGCGTCCTGGAGAAGAACGCTCCGATCTTGTTGTCTGGACTAGAGATAGAATCCGTTTCCCCGTTGTTCCCACCGTTGTTCCCGCTGTTCCCATTGTTCCCGTTGTTCCCGCTGTTGTTCCCGTTGTTCCCTTTGTTCCCAGTGCCTCCATGGTTGCTGAGGAAGGAAGTGTCCCCGAACACATCGCCTCCACGGCCAACATGCATGGTGTGGCGGAAATCTCCCAAAGGAGGGCTGATCATCTCCAGCGTGAGGTCGCCTTTATAGCGACGCTTGCTGTGAGACTGTGAGACCAGACCTTTGAGGCCGGACAGCTTCTCCTGAAGATTCATGATCCTGAGAGGTGAATGGCTCCTGAAAATCTACTTTGTTTGGAGTCGCCTTTAAATCCCGCTGAATGGCAAAACTGAATGTCCAATTCTCCCCTCTTAGATTATGCCAAAATCATTGACAGTTTAAAACGTAGACAAAATATGGAGTAGGGTTATTCCAAGATCTTGAAACCTTGAGGAAATCTGAACTCCAGGCTTGCAGCACCAAATAGTTCTTGAATATCTTCTCAGTTTATCATACCCAAGCTAAACTCTGTCCCACTCTTTGTAACACGTTGGAATTGAATGGCACAATATTTGCTCAAAATCAACCTTTATTCCTACCGAATGGCCAAACTGAACGTTGTGTTCTCTCCTCTTAGATTATCCCAAAGTCATCGACCGTCCAAATCTTAAAAAATAGCTCTGAAATGTTATTCCAAGAGCTTGAAACCGTGTAATTTTCTGAGAACCTGAACTCCCAAAGTCTTCAGTGCCAGATGCGCTTGAATATTATCTCAGTTTATCAAGCGCAGGCCAAACTGTGTCCCTCTCTTCGTAGCTGGTTTTGATGCATAGCTGGCAGGATTAAAGGGTCATAAATTGAGGCGAAACACTGTGCAGTTGTGTTCCTGGAAGCAGCCGGTTGGAGTGTGGTCAGATCGCCTATTTTCCCCCGCTTGCTTTGGGCTTTGGCTTTGTCGACATCAGCTCAGAAATAGGTTCTGTGTCCAGCTGCAAACGGTTCTGCGGTTGCACCAACGGACCATCTATCGAGAGAAAACAACAGGGGAAAAAACATCTACCGTTAAAATGTAGACAGGGATGTATTTGATTTTGAGGGGATGACATTTGCAGTTTATATTCTGTGCAGATTCAGTTACTAATTATCCATACTGTATCTAGACTACATCTGGCTTTCTGCAGGTTTTTAGGATTCCTAAAGTCCAATGGGCTGGAACCGTCTAAATTTAGACCACAGTCACTCCTCTGTGCAGCAAACCCCAAAGTCTGCTTCTGGTCCATAAAATGGTTGGACTTTTCAGGGAATTCCTGCTTCCATTTTGTCCTGCTTTGTCTGCCATGAAGGTTACACAAAGTTCATTTTACATTTCCCTGAAAAGACTTATCACACTTTAAGGCCGAGCAGCAGACCTCATTCAACAGGATTAGATTTGTTTATAAACAAGCAAAGTCAGGGAGATAGGAAGAGATAACGGACGTTTACTGATAAGAAAATCTCAGCTGGTGCTTAGCTATAGACGGTAGTAAACAGTATCAGACGTCTCAAATATTTAGAACCAATCATAGGCTACTGTTTTAAAAAATGCACTTTTAATGTTCAACCGGTTGGTTAAAGGAGAGAACAAGTGTTTTCCATAACTTTCAATACGTTGATGATATAAATTAAAATTAATCATTTTTGTATTCATGTTTCTACTGTTTTTTCGTGTCACGCAGAACGATTTTAAACGCAATGTAAATAATAACAAATTAGAAGGAAAAACAGATTCAAAAAAATAAAGATTTCAGTATTCTGACACAGAAAGATTTTAGAAGCAGTGTATTTCTATTGGTTGTATGTTTCGTGCCTGCACCAAATAATAACAAATTAGAAGGAAATAAAGATGACAAAAAATACAGATGTCNCCGTGTCTATCACAACTGGACCTTCTGTAGACACACACACACCCCCCGCCGCGCCCCCGCCTTGGTTGAAGGATATTCTACCCAGAGACCCAGAACAAGATCTGATTGGTTGCATTTATTTTCTAACACAAAACCACTGAAATGCGTAGTGCATGGACCGAGAAGGACAAACAGATCAACGTAACACTGACTGTAATATTACCGATTACAGATACGATTCTCATTTATTCATTTTATATACATTTTATTTATATAATTAAATCAATTTTTTGTTTTATCTGAGTGTTCCAGGGTATTCTCTGAATACCTTGAAGGCCCTGACGGTTCGCCACTGGTATTAAGTAAAGCTGCTTTTATCAAGATTCTGACACCAATTGATTAGGGCTGCTCAATTAATCGTACTTTAATCGCGAATACGATTATGGCTTGCGACGATTACG